ACTTGCCCATGTTATTCTTCGCCGATTGGGTGAGCAAGGAAAATCTATTTTGTTTCCTTTCTAAAAGCATTGTCAGCAACGGAAAACACTGTCATACTTTGCAAATTGTTAATAACGTGGATTACAGGGATTACATTACAACGAAGGTACCAATGCCCATTAATTAATATTGTATTATAATTCGTCTTTCGATAGGTGGTTGACTATGGGCAAACGGACTTTCATCGTTGTATCACACTATGCTTACTGTGCCATAACTACCAAACCCCAGATTATGCTGATCTGAGCTACGACCCATTACGTTAAAAGGCACATAGACACAAAGCAGCACAATTGTAGCCATGGGAGTTCATGTATTATAGTCATTCGTAGGTGATTGCGTTTGCAGATTAACGCATATAACGTACATCGCGCGCCTCTGTTTAGCTTCGACGACTAATGTGCCAAATATTTTGCTTAGGGATTTGTTCTATAGATTATTCAAAAGCAGGGGCAAACCCAGAATCCGGACATGTAGAAGTGGCGGGACATATCACACTTCTCACATCGCGTTCTCGACTCAGCTGCTTCTGGAATAATCGTTTTCCGTATTTCATCCCCTGGCCTTCTATGCTAAATAAGAAGTCACTGGAAGTAATTAAGACTTTAGCCAGAAGACAGAGCATTGTTTCACGTTGCTGTATAATTTATGAGCAGCACAGTTTTGGTAGCAATGCGCCAACAGGTTGAAAGAATATCGGTGCAGCACCACAGCTTGAACAACTCGGAACAAACGAGTCACGACGTGAGCATAAATTATGCGGGAGCAGTTTCGTCGAGTTCGCACAGTTCATTGATGCGGTGTTACATCCATGCACTGTCCTTGTATAAACGTCATGAGGCCGTGACCTGGTTAACTATTTGCCACCTTCCCTCACCCAACCCCTCACCCCCCTCTCTGCGCCCTCCTAAACTGCCTAAATGAATGGAAGCGGCGCAACACTATCGTAAAACCGATGTGCCATGCAGCTATTCGCTACAACAGCACTGGTGTAAGCGAAAACATGAAAGAAAAAGCATAGTTTGGCATTGGGCTGTGATTTACGTAATTTTGTCAATAACATATCGATACATGGAGCGCGCATTGAGAACCATACTAGTGCAGTGCCACGACTTGAAGAATGTGGCTACTTTGCCACTTGTCTATCGACTTCAGGATGCAATAAATATAACGCACTACCCATGCCTTCGTAATGAACGAAGCCCATAAGGAGTTACAAAGGAGTATCGCTGGTCAAACTCCTAACTTTGTGAAAGGAAAAGTAAAGGGAAACAGTGATTATCAGAATACAACTCCGATTTAAAGTGCGCTTCTTCACGCTTTCTAATATGCAGTGTAACGGCATTATGTCTGAAGGAGGAAACCACAATTTGAGTCACCTTCCTGCACTCAAAAAAATATTGCTTGACAGAGTTTCAAAGATCTAGCTACGTTCCAGCTTACTAGAGGAAAGTCAGTGTCTAGAAGCTAATTGATACTCAACTTGATTATATACCACTTTTGTGTATATAACGGGTGTTCATGGATGTGGTCTTAGTTCAATAATCGTCTGAACGTTCTTTCTCTTCGCCTAAGAAATCCTATGCCTGGGTAAATGAGCGACTTTTGTGACATGAATCAGAATTTAAATTTGCGGTGAAAATAATATGGGTCCTTCATCGAATTACAGCATGAAGAGAGCCTGTCCAAAGACCAGTTAAGAAAGGTAGGGCGTCGGTAGCCAGCAATCGTAATATCTTATCCTTAGATGTATCCTTAGATGTAATATCCCTCTGGGGATCAGGAGGATCGATTATTTAGAGTTCGTCATGGAGCATATTAAAATTTGCTGAAAGGCAAGTTGATAGTCTATAGCAATGTTTTACGGAAGCGTTTCCTCTGGTATATGTTTCAGCTGCGAGAAGGCTACCTCAGTTCATCATTAGTTGCGTTTCTTTTTCTCGGAATCATCACGGAAAAGATCACATGACTCAGAACAATATGCACTCCGACGGCATGGACTTTAAAACTCTCAGGATGATGACTTACGATAGAGTGATCGCCGAGTTTCTGGTGTTCACAAGAAGTGTGTCCACAGTTGGAGGGAATATTGATCGATTCAACATAGTTGTCCACTTGAAATTGAAAATCGTTCATAAAGTGATGTAATGAGTATACAACTGACAGAGGTTTTCATTCGATAGAGCATTTGACTCACATTCGAAAGATCGTCAGTTACAACCTCTGTTCTGATCATTCGCCCTCCAAGGCAGATGACAAAGTGGCGTTTTGTGGTGAAAGAAAACAAGGGACCATACGCCGTACCTGAAGGTATTCCTTTCAAGCGAATGACATGGAAGCTGAAATTAGCCTCTCACCATTGGCTCCAAGAAAGAGATGGTGCCACAAATGGACACTCATCATGGAAATGTAATGGAGACCAAAATCTCAGCAGTTATGGGCTTGCCTTCTTTGAAACAGCGTGCTTGCGGTGGGCATCTCTATTCGCAAATTTGATCTGACATGTCGATGTTAACCGGATTTCACGCAGTAAAGATGAAAGCGCAACGGCAAAAAGAAGCACACATTTTCACACAGACAGGCGCCACTGTCGTTCTGCTTGAAAGTTCTGAATTACGGACTCAATGAAGCAAGGCTAAATGGATCAACAGTTTGCATAAATCTGACCTCGACGTCTGCTAATGTCAGGCGTAAAAAACGGAAAGACAAAAGTTTAAATACGGCGACTTCGTGAGAGAGGAACGGTGGACTACATTCTTGGAATAATGGTATGTTAGGAATGAGGGAACGTTCTAAGGCAAGTCCTTTCGGAAGCATGCTACTCTGGTCATGTGCCGGTATAGACGATTGAGTTGAGTTTGCGCGAGGCGCTGAAGCACCGCAGTTGGGGTTCGTTTCGTGATTGCCGTTTCCTTTTGCATGCACAGAGAACTACATGTGTATCGCAAACAATTCCGGTGGTGGTCTACTTAAGGGTGAGGTGACAGCACACGCGGACGAACCGTTGTCAGGTGTCGAGTGAAGATGAAGGTGAGGAAGCACGCGACGCCAGTGGACCCAGACCCGGGTTCGCTCGCTGGCAGGGGGCGTGGCCCTATGGTTGGCTACCTGTTGTTCGGCAGTGCGGTTTTACGGTAGGTACGAAAGCGGCTGGTCGTTGGGTGCGCGCGACGTGAGGAATGCGGGAAGGCGCGTCATGCGTCGCTCCCCTTCGAGGGCACCGCCTTCCTTCCACTTGCATCATTATTTGAACTTGTCGCGAAAGTTGTGCACTGATTTTTTCGTCGTCCAAAAAACACACATTCGTCGTCGTCGTCGTCCAAAAACAAGTCTTGGTTATGGCCAAACCTGAAACTCTAGAAATCGCCCGACTCGCTGCCGGATTTGCGTCGCACAAAGCGCACGGACGCCGGACAATCGCCGTCGTTCTGGCGAATGTTGACACTGGGGCCGGAACGGCACCGGCGACGTGTAAAAATATGAACTACGCGACAAGTAATATGCGGCGACATCATCGGTCAACAATCGCCGCCAATGTTGACAGTCGTGCAGCAGCTCACCACACGACGGTGCCGAACCGAACATGGACCGAGGACGAGGTGGAGGTGGAGGACGAGGTGGAGGGCGAGGACGGAAAAGGGCCGCCAGCGGCACGGGAGGTGGAAGGTGCGGGGCGTGCCAACGACGACGACGACGACGACGCAACGCCGACACACAATTACCGGTCCAGCACACGCCAATTACGGGTGGCAATGGCTTGCGTGGCTCCCGGTGGTGTTCGGTGTCCGGTCATAAGGCGTGCCACAGAAGTATTGAGTTACACAGTTTGCCTCTAACGGAAACGCAACAAGGAACTGAATCGGTAAAAAGAGGGAAAGGCTCAAGTCAGCGACAGACAAACGAAACGCTTAAATATAATAAACAATTCGATCCGCTCTTCATCAGGCAAAACTGACTCCGGTCGGTTTTACGGAGTGCAACTCCTTCAGTGAAGAATTCCGCTTTACTTCTTGCATGAGCAATGGCAAAAACGGAGGATGAAAAAGTGGAATTATAAAAAGAGGAACGGAAATAAATCAAGCAAGAGGCAAAATAGACTTTGCAAGCGCCTCAAATCACCGGGCGATGGAATGACCCCGGGTCTAGAAAACTAGAAATGCACAGCATTTCCCGGACGGAAATACGAAATAGGCAGTTGTTTTTCTGCAAAGCGAAGGACAAACATTCGGGGTTAAGACAATAGTGAGAAAGCTTAGTGAAAAGAGGAAACTGAGGTGTAA